GGGGACTTGTCATTTGACCTTCGGACTTAACGCTCGATACGGAGCTAACTTTCGCCCGAGAGGACAATTTTGGAGCCTTCGTGGGGATCGCCGCATGCAAGGAGAACATGCGGAGCCTAAACAAACAGGTGGTGATTTGATGAGCGGTGCACAAACCATGAATCAATGATAGGGCCACGCTTGGCAGCACCAAGCCCACAGCAGTCAAGATGGACGTGACGGTCGCTTCAATCGGCTGTAAAAGATACATACATTGCGTGTTGTGCATGGCAGGGTGGTGCTAGACGGCGAGATCCAGACGAGCGAGCGACCCCGCAACCACGTCAGACTTTAGTACTGCTGTATACATCAACCGTCTCAATTTCAAAGAAATTAGGTTTGCGCCGTTTGTAATGCGGAATCATCAACTACGCGTTTTCATTTGGAGTTAACATTGTAGAATTTCGCATTCGAGCATGCACACATGCACCGGTCGCCCCGGTGGTCTGGTGGGTAGCCTCGCAGCCTGCCAAGGGGCAGGTCATGGGTTCGAGTCCCGGCAGAGAGAATTTTTTTCTCACTAAATAAATCCTAGTCTAGGATGAAAGCGACGCGCTGCAAAGCTCGTTTTATAGTAAAAACCATAGTCGACTTCGTAAGTCGCGAGGGAAGGGATTGCTGTACCCTTATCGCGAAAAAAATACCTCAGGCATGAACCGCAGGAGGGGGTCCAACCCCCCCCTCCTTTGTGGCCCCAGTTGGGTCGTCTAGCTAGTAGAAGTGGGGATAGGGGCCAGAGGGGCAGACGACAGAGTCCAATGATGGGAGAAAAAAAACAACATACTCGATACAACATACTTCCAACAATACATGGGTCCCACTCCGCGCGCATCTGCATGCATATATATATATCATCGCCAAATCTCTACCTAGTCTATATTCATGCTGTACTTCGTAGTTTTCGCTCTCCACGAGGCAGCTGAGTCCACAATTGGTGAACAATAGTGCCGCTAGGGGCACCCATAGCTTCTGACGGCAGCAACAAAGATGGAGCAGCAGCGGGGGCTCTCCCCGATACGCTTTGGTCGTTCTGTTCTGTCACGAGACTACCCAGCCCCGCGGCCCTACAGCATTCATTTGCAGCTCGCGACGAAACTTGCTTGATCTATGCATATGTACCGCGCAACTTGGGTCGAGTAGCTTTTTCCAGGCCCGTTGCCTTCACGTACAGCAGTAGTTTCCACAAGCACATCGATCGCGGTTTTAGGGCTATGTGCCGTATGTTAGCGGGCGGCGGGACATAAAATTCTTCACGGCGGAGAGAAAAAGATCTCCACATGCCGAATGCGCTCACATATACAACCCGCAGGACTGCTGTTGCCGCTGCTGCTGCTGCTACAGCAGTAAGTAGTCTACGCACATTTATTTGCTGCTGTTATGTCAGGGCTTGCTCCCTTTCGAATAAGAAAACATGCTGCACGCTCTGACCCCAAGGAGAAAAGGGACGGGAGAGCCGCATCGAATGGTCTCCAACAGCAGTAGTGGACCACAGCGCTTGGGTCGCCGGTTGAGCATGATGATGCAATGATGTGCTACATCATCCACGTATGCATACATGCCGTCAAGCCTGCGAACGCCGCCAACAGATGAAAATGATAATGGTGTAGATCGATCACACTCACACACTGCCAATTCGTCGCTTTGTTGCACGTCACAAAACTCTCCTGGTGTTGGTGTGTGCCATGATGTGTGTTACCCTGCTGTGGGTATCCGGCAGCGGACATCTTAACAGCAGCGGTATGTATGCGGATGATGGCGCTCGCACCTGCTTGCTGATGTCCAGTGGGCAATCTATCTCAATTCCCAAACCTCTCGTTGGCTATTCTAACCTGTTTGGAGTTGGCCTGCAGCGCAAGCTGCTATTGCTGTAGGGAGATAGATGGGTGAACTCGTCTGCTCGGTGGTTGATGGCTTGCAAGTGAGCTGATCGGTACGGTACCACTGCCCTGCTCGGGACGATCTCGGCGGCTTCTGCCCCGTTGTACAGGCTACCGAGAATCCCGGAAAGAGGGGTATCTCGGGGCGTTGAGCTGGACCATTTTGCCTTTCTCCCGGGCTAAAGTAGGTTCGTGTTTTCCCGATAATCCGAGAAAAAGGAGTGCAATCATCATTCGCTACACACCACGGCATACCTTGAGACGAAGCTCTGCCGGGTATTCGTCCTGGCCCGTCACCATGCCGTGTCGGTCCCGCGAGGCCTCGGAGCCTTCAGAAGGAGCGCCGGTAGCAGCCATGGTTTGTCTCCTTCGCCGGTGAGTGTGTATTGGTTCCTGAATACGCGGCGGAAAGAAATGGTGCAATGTTAATGCCGTTCTCCCGGCAATCAATTTGCACGGCACGCCATACTGTACCCCACGCGTTCTGTTGTGTACCTCATTTGGGTAGCTTTGCGTAGATGGTGGTGGTGATGTATAGTGCTAAGAGTCTTGGTTTGGAGCGTGTAGTGGTGTACAGACGGGTAGGAACGGTGCATGGGTCAGAGAATGGAGATATTCAACAATACCTGCCACCATAGTGTGGTTGGCGAGTCCTAGATTAAAAGCTCCATTGATTGTGATAATGTCAACCCTCTCTGTGGCTACACGTTTTGACGAGAACTGGCTCTCTTTTCGGAGATGATAATGTAAACGTCAACAACTTCGTACGTATGTAGGTACACTACAAGTTGGTTTGTGCCTTTACACACACAACTTTTCACTGAGGCAAGGCACAGCAATCAGGAGGATATGCCCTTGTTTGTTTGTTTCAGGTCTATTGCAGACAAAGTATCAAGTTGGAACTCCTACGAATTGTCCTGCGTACGGTGAAATGTGGATGGATGCCGTGGGTTTCCTCCGTGTTTGTTGTACCTCATTTTGTACCCGGTGTCGGTGGATTGTGTCAGGCTTGGATCTGTCGACAATACGTATGTAGTTCTAGTGGTGCAGCCGAAGAGGGACGTGAGGACAAGAAAAAATCAACAGAGTAGCTCCGACTTGCAGTAATCTCTCACCTGTAGTGAATGGCGAGCTCCGTAAAGAGTGCTGTATGCAGCATGACCAGAACACGAGGAGAGATGAAATGTTGTTCAGCGCTGGCATCCATTCGAGGGGGATTCCGTGTCATGCCAACTTCTTTTCACCAAAAAAAAAAAGTTTGTTGTCGGTAAATTGTAGACCAATAACCAGAAACGGGTATACCCGGGTACTTTATCACCACTTTAGGGTACAGTTGGAAATCAACACGCTTGCACCCCCGGGCTATCAGCTGATTGGCCGAAAAACCGTTGTACCCATTTCTGAAGAAGCTCCATCAGGTACAACTTCCGCTGGAATTGGGACCCCCTGGTGTGACCGATATTGGTTACTGGTGTGCCCAGAAGAGGTCAATTTTGTACCCAGAAATGGTCATATTATCCCGCCGCCCGACGCTCCAGCATATAGAGTAAACCAGGGTATTAACGAACACCCCGCCTTTCACGAACACTTTTTTCAAGAGACGTAACCAGGAACGGGTATACCCGGGTACTTTATCACCACTTTCGGGTACACNCAGCATATAGAGTAAACCAGGGTATTAACGAACACCCCGCCTTTCACGAACACTTTTTTCAAGAGACGTAACCAGGAACGGGTATACCCGGGTACTTTATCACCACTTTCGGGTACACTTAGAAATCAA